TATATATATATATATATATATATATATATATATATATATAAAAATCTAATTTTTGTAAATTATTTTAAGAAGATTTTTAATGAACAATGAAGCGATCTTTGTATTATGACGAATCTTGATGTAGATTAAAGTGGCTTTTTATCTTTTGAAGATTAGATATTATGTATTATTCCTCTTCGTTATCATTCGACTATTCGAATAATTATGCATTATTATTCTATACTGTCATTCAAGTATTTGTTGAAAATATCTTATACACTTTTTTTTCCATATCGTTATTATATTACTAATGCGTCATCATATTATAAGCACGTGGAAGAGATTTTGTTTTGAAAATTGACACAATATTATATTAAAATTTATATTATAAAATTAATATAATTTTATAATATAAAAATAATAAGAAATGCAACAATTCTGAAAATTCATACGTTCATGAGAATTCATATATTCATGTGTTTAACGATTGACATATAGTAATCTGTAATAATAAAATAGACATTAATTTTTTATTTTATAATAATAAAATGCTTTAATTTGTAATTGTAACGCAGAAGTTTATTAATTATTTAAATTAAAATATATATGTTATATATATGTTATTTAAATATATATGTTACAATTGGTTAATAGACTAAAATTATTTGCAATAATAATAAGCTGCAATAATAATTATTAAAATATTCTTAATTAACTAAATTTACTTTAAAAGATGAATTTGAAATTCTTTATTTACCGTATGCTTTTCTTGATTTCCTGAGCTATAGGTGCTAGATAGATGCTAGGATAAAGCGAATCTTTTTCGTCGAGGAACTAATAATAATGTTTATGTTTTTTGACAATATATATTTGACATTGGAAGATCATGCTTATATTTTCAAGAAGCAGTGGTGTTTGTGTAACGTAATTGTAAGCACATCATTGCAAAGACACATATCATTTTTCTACAAATTTTCATATTGCTTTAAGGTTGAAATTAATGAAATAGCCCAGCCTCAGCCTATCATTAAATTGAAATTCTATCTAATTATTCTCACGCAATCTTCCAAGAAGAAACTTTTTAATATACGCATAAAAGAAAAATATCAAGTTATATAAATGATTGAAGAATTTCAGGTTAATTACGTAATGTCAGCCGCTATTTAGAAATCTCTTAGCCTATTATTATCGTTGGTTGATAGTAAATCAGAGATCCTTATCATTTTCCACAATAAAATTATATTACATCTCAAAAGAGAAAAGCATAGAAGCGCTCGGAGAGATCACATAATTCTAAATTTCAAGATGTACTTTTTTAATTAAATATTATGCGAACGGTCTGTATATTTAATTATATTAATTATATTAATTATTAATTTCTAATTCTCAGAAATCTGTTGCCTTGTATATAATGGCCTAATGGGTCGTGTAAAATGAGCTTAACAAGAAAAGAAACTTGGTGGGAGATGCTGCTGCTGAGATCTTGAGATCAGAAGAAACGTCGGGGAAAGCGGAAGCGAGAAAGTAAGAGTTCGCAGCCGTAGGCTGATTTCTTCAACCGTCACTTTCGTTCTCCGTTTGCGACCGGTGTCACTGTTTAAAGTCCGTTAAAGTCTGTTTACTATATCTTTCGGATTAGACGGAGGCAAAACCTACTTACTTCATCGAAGATGAGTAGCATATTTATTGTTATCAATGACCTTTGTATTCGTAGAGTAGATAATCGTCTTTTTTTTTGTTTCAAGGAGCTCGCTGGACATTGAGATATACGTAAATTATGTCTCTCCAAACATGTCCATTATAGATTACTTCAATCAGAAGTATAAAGATACTTTTGCAATAAACAATTGACACTATCAAACTCAATCTCAATATATTTATCGAAATATCTAGATGTTACAATACCTTTATAAGAAAGTCGATACGAAATTGAAATAAATGTATAAGAATCATTCTCAGAAATAATATTAAATTTATTTAATTCTTGCAAAATAATTATATTAAAAAATTTGAACTTTTTAAAATTCGTGAAAACATTCTTTACAATTCCTAAAATTCTTGAATTATTTGAAATATTTTTTATACTCTTAAAATTTTTCTTGCCCAAGAAATGCACAGACCAAACGAATTGCATTTAATGACAGTCACACAAATCACAATGTACATGATAATACTAGAGAATGGGCTATATAAAGTATAAGATTACAATTTAAAAAAAAACTCTGTTTCTTTTTAAACACTTTTATTCGCAAAAGTGAGATATATTAACATAAAACTTTTTCTTTTTTCCAGTCTTGATACATTTAAAGCAAGACGAGGACAACCTGACACCTTCTTTTATGTGGTATAGAACTCTCGCTTGAAATCTTTTCTTTGATACGTTGCGGATGCCTTTCGAGTGAAAGTGTTGCATGATTTTATGTATGCTTAACTATGTTAAAATATGAAAATTGTTTTTGTTAAATGCAAATCAATTTGTACGATTGCGTGTTATTCTGTAGTCTTTTGTATTCATATAATCTTTAATTGAATAACAATAGTAAATCGTAATTGGTATATCGGTAATTCAGTGCGTAGTATAATAAAACAATAATCATAAATATTAATAAGAATAATAAGAAATTTGACAAATAAAAATTGGATATAAAAGATACAGATGAAGAATCGCGGATGCCTTATATAACATTAAAATTTGTATTTCAAATTATTCTTATTCTACAACATGACTTTCTTTTAATTAATTCTATTTCGAACATTACATCAATTGATTGATGAAATGAAGTTAATTAATTTCTTTTGATGTTTATCTTTTTTTTATTTCGCTTTTCTTTTCATATATATATATATATATATATGTTATATGTTATATATGTTATAATTGATGTAAGAAATAGCGATAACGAAATAGTTTTCGCACGTTACACACTTCTTATCAAATCACATTTAATTATATTATCATATCGATTTCTCTATATTGGAGAACTATATTACGTAA